GCCTATTGCTTAGCACATGCTTACAGCAGCTTTGTAAGCCGGGGAAGAACATCAGGCCAAAATAAACAGAGGAATCAGGTTGTTATTGCTTCAAGGCTCTGTCTAAGCTTGGCTCGCTGTGCTTCCCTCACTGCAATAATGGTTGGCAGAAAACAACACCCAATTCTACTTTCACTTCTGATCTAAATTATGTTGGACATTCTACTAAATCCATTCCTGGCAGATAGAAACTGTCTGATTAAGAAGACAAAAGCATCTTCAACATAAAGTACCAGGAAGTGGAATACAATACACAGCTTGGAGTGAAGAGGTTTCAATAGCAAGCCTAAGAGATAGCTTTGAGAATCCTCTTCCTGTTACAAGCTACTGCAGCAAGCACCAGGAGGATAATCATCTTCTAATGGAGTCATTCAATGCTTGTGGCACCCCAAAGGATGGTTTAAAAGGTGCATTTAAAGGTTTAAACTGATTTTCCTCTGACCCTATTAAATGCCACTGGAGCGAGCAGAGCTGCACTCCCAGGAAACACACATTTTACTGCATTAAAAAATGTAAGTTTGAGTGATGCAGAACCCCCATATTTGTCCTTATTTTGGGGGTTGATCCTGCGCACCCGATGCGCTCTTGTGAGAGGTGCCACCCATCCAACAGGCCTGTGTGGGCTATCAGCCTTCTCCCCTTGCTGGTGCAGAGCCTCCTTGCTCTGCACTCCTCACTGCCACGGAAGTCAGAAGTGTTCACTCAGGGAAAACCAAAGTATTACTACAGGAACAACAGCTGGGAGAAGTGAACACAAAGCAGGTTTGAAACATCCCACAGAAGCTAGAAACTGAGGAGGGGATGTGCAAAATAGCACAGCCAGACCCTTACAACCATGCAGTAACTACCACGGTCCCCACCTTACCAGGTCTGGCCTGTATGGGCTCCCAGCTCAGTATGTGGCTACTCCTTACCAACAACCACCACCTACATGGAGACGTAACCCCACCAGCTCCTACAGCACGCTTGCAGGCAGCAGGAAGAAGCACACATCTGGAGGTTGATACCTGCATCCATCCCACAAACTCATAACAGCTTCCACTTATCTGTCCCCAGCTTGTCCTGCTTCATGATTTCCAACAGGATATCCTTCCTTGTCCCTGTGCAGGCCTGACCCTGGGCTGAGCTGCTCACCCACTAGCAGTGCTTCCAGAAATCAATGAGCACAGCACGTGCTCATTTCCTCCTCCTCCTCTTTAAGATCCCCATCTGTGATAAATACCCGATCCACACTCCCCTGGGAGCTCTCTCAAGTGAGTATCTGATAGTAAGCCAACCGCAGCGGTAGGTTCCAACATCCCCTCTTTAGTTCACCTGGTTCTAGATTAAATCTGACTGCAGTGTCTTGCCAATGAAAAATGCCACAAATCAATCAAGTCTCACTGGTTCTTTTCCTTCAGGAGCAATGAGACTGTGCTTGTTGTTCCCATTTGGAGAGGAAATTGAGCTTTAGCTTTCTGAAGTGCTGCAGAATACAGTTTGTTTTCCCATGTCTTACAGTTTCATGAGGTTGACTCAAACACAGGCTGTAAAACACGGTGTAAGATTATTATTCCCCCCCTCCCGAAAGCCCAGCTAATAGATTTCCAAGTGTTTGGCTTTCCCCCTGGGAGTAAGGAAGCAGCCCAGTGAAATAGGAAAGCTATTTCAGTCCTTACTCTTTGCACTTCATTAACACCTAATGACAAGAGGAGATCCCTGAGGAATTCCCATCTGCAGCAATGGGAATACGGGTGACAAATGTCACAGTAAATCATCCAGTTATTGAATTAAAGGACATATTTTGTTCTAATTAAAGGTTGATGTTGGCTTGAAAAAACCACCAGTATCTGACAGGAAAAATAACAGTAACATCATCAACAGCGTAAGGTTTAATTCTGTGCTTCCACTGACACCCCAGTGCTCATAACCCTGGCTCTCAGCCCAAACTCCATCTGTACACCAAGCATTCCCAGAGCTGCACTTATCTCCCACCTTCCAGTGTTCTGGCTGGCCCAAACCCTAGGATGAACAGCACTTCTCCCTCCTGCTCCACTTCAAGCCCCCCCAACCCCTGCAGGACAAGCTCACAGAGGTGCTGTAGGGTGTTACTGAAGGTGCAGTGCAGCAGGAGGAGAGCGCTGAGCTGCTCCACAACCCCTCTGCTGTTCTCTCCCACCCTCGGGAACCCTCTTGGAGCTGCTTCCAGGTCTCACAGAGCACTGGGAGGGAGATCCCGCTGCTCCCTGCAGCTCACTGGGAAGCTGTTACTGCTTAGGAAGCAAAAGGGAGCCGCTTGGATGTTCACAGCACTACAAACACCATCCTGCTGCACCCTGAAGCTGCATCAATGGGAGGCATCAAATGGAAGCGTTTTTTCCACATCCTGCATGCTCTGTGTGTAACTTAATTTGCCTGGAAAAAGGGAATAAATGCTTTAAAGAATTTGCATGTATCCAACATTTACAGAAAACATCAGGAACCCTAAAAAAAACCTACTGCAAAAGCCAAAGTGTATTTCAATCCAATTACAGTTCCTGATAAGGACACTGGAATAGAATCATAGAATCCCAGCCTGGTTTGCATTGGAAAGGACTTTAAAGCTCTTCCAGTTCCAACCCCTGCCTCGGGCAGGGACCCCTTCCACTGGAGCAGCTTGATCCAAGCCCCTGTGTCCAACCTGGCCTTGAGCACTGCCACTTGAACACTGTGTGGGCAGCCACTTTGTAAGCACAACTGCTTTAAAAGCAAAGCCTAACAGGGGTTTCCAGCCTCCAGAAAGAGACTTACACTTGCTCTGTGCAGTACTGCTTTTCATTGTGTTAATGATGCAATGACACGGGCAACAGCAGCTCTCCAGTTAAGGATGATTTAATACAGCAAATGAAGACGGGTGTGCTAAATGTTTCTAAATATTAAGTAGGTCAAAAAGTGAGTAACTCTCCAGATTTAAATAAATACCTAAATATTTGTATTAAAAAGTAAATATTCCTAAAGACTTGGATTACATAAGAGTAAACATTCCAGCATATTTAAATAAAGAAGGAAATATTTCTAGGAATTTAAATAAAAAAGTAATGACTCCTAAGTGTTTAGGTTAAATAGTCAGGGTTTGCTGCCCAGAGAAGCTGTGGCTGCCCCATCCCTGGCAGTGCTCAAGGCCAGGTTGGACACAGGGGCTTGGAGCAAGCTGCTCCAGTGGAAGGGGTCCCTGCCCGTGGCAGGGCCTGGAGCTGGAGGAGCTTTAAGCTCCCTTCCAACCCAAACCAGGCTGAAGTTCTATAAATAAATAAAACATTCTAAATATTTAGATCCAATAATTACAAAGTAAATATTTCTGAAGATTCTATTTATTGGACACGTTTCTAACCCATCCTGGCTCCTTGGATGTTCACTGGTCACATCTATTGGGCAGTTTCTATGGGCCAGAGCCTCAGCTGGTGTGATTGATACTGGAGAGCCCTTTGGAAGGTGCAATGATTTATACCCCAAGCATCAAGGAGGAAAATCCCAATGAATCAAAGAAATCACACCGCACTTCTCCTGTCACTGCACACAAACACACCCTGCTTTTGCAGACTGTCATAAGCCCTGCTTGCTTGGTTTCCTCCATCCCTCTCAATTGGATCTTCACTTTCAGGGAAGTGAGGAGGAAAATCTTACTTATTTTCCCACTAAAGATTCCTTTAAACTCTCAATAGCTGCACGTACATGTACAACAAACAGCCCTGATCCTGCAATCAAAATGAGAACCCTCAAAGTATCAATGGTGTTAGGAAAAAACCCCATACCCAAAAGGGCCCTGATATGCTTTTACCTGATCATCTTTACCCCCTGCAGGAACTGCCCAAATATCTCTCTGAAGCGCTGCTGCAGCGTAAGGACATGGAACTGCTCCTCCATAGCTGGCAGTAGCCAGGCAAAAGCAGCTTGGCAAAACAAGACCAACATGGGTAGACAGTAACAGCAGCGCAACACCCAAATCCTGACCAATACAACAACCCCCCAAGAGGGGATATTTAAGATCACATAAATATCCATGAACACACAAGCTGCTCTAAGCAAAGGGCAATAAGACTCATGGCAAGAACTCCCCTCAGTCCGCAAATCACAGAATCATAGAACAGTTTGAGTTGGAAAGGACCTTAAGATCAGCCAGTTCCAACCCCTGCTATGGGCAGGGACACCTCACACTAAACCATGGCACCCAAGGCTCTGTCCAACCTGGCCTTGAACACTGCCAGGGATGGAGCATTCACAGCTTCTCTGGGCAACCCATTCCAGTGCCTCAGCATCCTCACAGGAAAGAATTTCCTCCTTACATCCAATGTAAACGAGCCTTTCCTGTTCTCTGTTTTCTCATTTGTGCTTTGTTTCTTTTCCTCTACAATCAGGGAATGTTTGCCTGTCTTAAAGATGGGCTGTGATGATGAAAACATATCGGGAGCAGTGAGATAAGAAGCTAATATAGGTGAAAAAGAGTCTTATGACAACGTAAGTTACTCAACTGTACTAATCATTGGGAAAATCCAGGGGGATGGTTCCCAGGTACACTGGAAAATGTACTTGGGTCGGAGCAATCCCAGGCACAGCTACAGGCCTGGCAGAGAAGAGATTCAGAGCAGCCCAAGGAGAAGGACTTGGGGGTGCTGGTCGATGAGGAAATGAACATGAGCCGGCTGCAGTGTGCGCTTGAGCCCAGAAAGCAACCGTATCCTGGGCTGCATCAAAAGGAGTGACCAGCAGGGCGAAGGAGGTGATCCTGCCCCATTACTCTGCTCTCGTGAGACCTCTCCTGGAGCATTGTGTGCACTTCTGGTGTCCTCAACATAAAAAGGACACGGAACTGTTGGAACAAGTGCAGAGGAGGCCACGAGGATGCTCAGGGCCTGGAGCAGCTCCCGTAGGAGTCGCAGGCTCAGCTTTGCGGTGATTGTGATGGACGAACGTTGCCCGGCAACACAGTGTTTGCGGCGCCGCCCATGGCAGAACCCTTACGGCCTCTGGCCGAGGGCAGCAGCCACTGGGGCTCCCTGCCGGGAGAGGAGCGGCAGGAGGCTGCCAGCGCCGGGAGATACCGGGTACGGCACAGGCTGAAGACGGCCGCAGCCCGCACGGGGAGCGAGGGCACGGCAGCCAACATGACTTCAGCAGAGGAGGAGTTGTCAGGAGACAGCAATCTGTCAGCAGAAGCCAGCACAAGCAAGCTGCCAGCAGATGCTTCTCCTGACTCTAAATGCCCTATCTGCTTGGACAGACTGGACAATGTTGCGTTTCTGGATGGCTGTTCTCACAGGTTCTGTTACTGCTGTGTCAAGGAGTGGTCAAAAACCAAAGCAGAATGTCCCCTCTGCAAGCAACCCTTCATTGCTATTTTCCATCCCATTCGTGAAGAAGACGACTCCGAGGAGTACATCCTTAGCCCTGTAGGAAAAGGCCCTTTTTTCGGCCCTGATGGCCGCATCATTCATCACCGGATCACCTCAGCAGAGGCTCCTCGCCCTGACCCTTCCCTTTCCCGCAGGACGCTGTATCTTCCAGTGTTTTCTGACCCAGCGCAGCACAGGGAGGGAGAGACACAGCAGGCGCTAAGGAGGCCAGCCTCAAGGAGCCAGGCTGGTGCAGAGGGCAGAGCTCTGCGGCGGATTCAGGTGGAGGACGTGATCAGCTTCCGCAGAGCTCTCTACAGCACTGGGGTGCGTATTCGCAGCATTCAGGGGGCTGGCCGCTCCAGAGACATTTCAGCAGAGTTCTTCCGCTGTAACCCTGCCTGCCTGCACAGGTTGGTCCCTTGGCTGGACAGAGAACTTACAGCCCTCTTTGGAACCTATGAATGTTTTAATACTGTACGGCGCCTTATCCTCAGCAATCTGACTGCGTACGATCTGGAAAGCCAGGCCTTTGCTGATGAGTTACAGCCGTTTTTGTTGGAGCGGACTGAACATTTCCTACATGAATTCATCAGCTTTGCCCGCTGCCCTTTTAACTTAGAAGAGTACGATCAACGCGTCAACTACGATTGGCGAGCACCATCGTGCGATGAAGGAAGCCGCTCACACTCGTCAGTTATTACAGTATCTCCAGATACAGCGTACTCTCAAGGCCCAGATAACAGTTTGTCTGTGACTGGTGTCAGCCAGGCTCCTTGGGATGATGAAACTCCAGGCCCTTCCTATTCCATTTCAGAAGAGGTTCCTGGGACTCTGGAGATGTCAGCAAGTTCTGATGAAGGCTCTGCTCCAGAGAGTCAAAGGGCCAATCTGCACACTCAGTTACAGGCTAACGCTGACTCCAGTGACAGCGATTCTTCCTCAGACAACTGTGTTTTTGTTGGGTATGTTAAGCCACCAGCTGAGAGGACACCAGAAGTTGTTGAGCTGTCCTCAGACTCTGAGGAACCCACTGGGGAAGACAACAATGAAGATGGAAAGGAACAGCAGCCAGTCAACTGTCACAGCTGGAGTGATAGTGAACCAAGCTGGAGTTCATCACCACATTCCACCACGGACAAGGAGAACCTTGGTAGCTGTGGAAGCTGCTTATCTCCTGAAGGTGAGGAGACAAAAGATGATGAGAAGTACAAACATCAGGTAAAAGATCTGACTTCACAGGTCTTAAGCTGGAGCCCCCCTCCAGAGAGTGACACAGTGTGCTCCCCTTGGAATCACAGACTGTCTAGGAAGAGAAAGTCCAGGAGCCCACAGTCCTGTTCATGGAACAGTCATGGCAGTCATGGGCATCGCTCTAGGAGGGAGCACCAGAGCAAAAGCCAAACTAAAAGGAAACGATCAAGAAGCAGAGGTAGCAGCAAACGTAGTAGGAAAAGAAGCAGCAGGAGGTCAAGGGCTCATGAAAGCAAAGTCTCTCTAGAAAGCCAGAGAGGCTCTTTCAGTCATGAGAGCACTCCATGCAGAGAAGGAAGCAGATCACGATCACGCAGCAAAGGCCATGGCAAAAGGAGATCAGGAAGCAGAGACGGTGATCGTTATTATGTAAAAGACAGTTCTCAAAGTAGACATGAGTGGGGACATGCTTTCTGTAGTCGAAAGGTGTTTGGAGATGGCTATGAATCCTCCAGCAGGAGGAGGACTCAGTCTAATGACACCTACTCAAGGCAGTCTCCGAGTCCAGAATGTAGGATACCATCATTTACTGAAAAGGCAGATCCACACAGCCAGAGGGGATTTCCTCACAGACACTACTACTGTTATGAACGGTGCAGGTCAAGGAGTCGATCCAGCAGCAGGTCAAGGACTCCTCTGAGGGGAACGGAGAGAATGAAAAGTGAAAAACCTGGTGGGAAAAGGAAGCACAAAACTCGCCACCTGGAGAATACATTCACTGAGAGCACAAATCGAGAATGAGAAAGTGACCCCTAGGAGACTTCCTCAGAATGTAGTGACTCCTACACACATGAAGACAGCCTTTCAGACAGTCAAGCAGGCAGCGACACGACACGGAAGGAAAAGAAAACACAGATGAGAAAGTCCAAGCGTGGAGATTGTCTATGAAGGAAAAGCAACAGAAGCCACAAGGTGACTTCAAAAGAAAAAGGATAAAAAGAAACACGGGAAATGTCAAACAAGTAACTCAATACAGTCTTTCACACAGTGATTACAATCCATAGTGAAGAACTGTAGCACACTTTCCACAGAACACTTCTTAAAGTTCTGCCGTTGTTAAAACTGCATTTTTCCTCTGGAGAACAAAACCCCCACCCTTATGTGATTCCTGTTTGTTAAAAGATGTCTGGGAAATGAATAAAACTTTTGAATGTCTACATACTACTGAGTCAATAGAGATAGAATATTGCCAGTATGGGACTTTGATGGTTCCTCAAGAGACTGGAAGTTACGATTTCATAAAGCCATCCTGTATTCTTGCAGTATTAAAGTGTATGTATGGAGTATTCTCCTGCACATCACTGGGCAAACGCCTCCAAGAGTCATTTAGAGCTCAATGGTTACTGTTTGTTCCTAAACATAGAGAACTCCGCTTTCCACCTCTCTAAACCCTGAGTATGCTCCCTTTGAGACACAGCTGTAACTGCTCATGTGAGCTAATGGAGGCTGCCCACACTTCCCAGGTGGGACAGCACTAACACAATCCCATCTGAAAGACAGCACAGCATGTTACCCCTTACAGCACCAGCACAACACAGGTGTGATGAGCTCCTGGCTTTTACTGCTTCCTTTGTGCAGACAACACGTTTATGGGGACACAGAAATCCTGCAGCAGGCACGGGTCACCCTGAGCCTTGGCAGGAAACCACAAGAGCCATGGAATGGTTTGGGTGGGAAGGGACCTTAAAGCTCCTCCAGCTCCGACCCCTGCCACAGGCAGGGACCCCTTCCACTGGAGCAGCTTGCTCCAAGCCCCTGTGTCCAACCTGGCCTTGAGCACTGCCAGGGATGGGGCAGCCACAGCTTCTCTGGGCACCCTGTGCCAGCGCCTCAGCACCCTCACAGGGAAGAGCTTCTGCCTAAGAGCTCAGCTCAGTCTCCCCTCGGGCAGGTTCAAGCCATTCCCCTTGGCCTGTCCCTACAGGCCCTTGTCCCAAGCCCCTCTCCAGCTTTCCTGCAGCCCCTTTAGGCACTGGAGCTGCTCCAAGGTCTCCCCTTCAGGAGCCTTCCCTTCTCCAGGCTGGAATCAGACCCCAAACACGGCAGCTCGGAGCAGTCACTGGCGGACAGAAGGACCCTTACCGAGCACACCGGCTCCTGAGGCGTCGAGGCCCGCCCTGTCCCCGCACTGCGGTGCTCGCCCTTCCGCCGGGCCCAACGGCGGTACCGGTACCAGCACCCGCGCCCCCTCCCCGCCCTCCTGGGGCTGCCTCCGCGCTGCCCGGCCCCGCCATCCCCTCACGCCCGCCCTTACCCTCCCAGGCGGGTGTCTCCGCTCCCGCCTCAGCCGCGCTCCTCCCCGGTAACCACAGGTAAAGCCCCCCAGCGGAATGGTGCGGACCCTGCTGCCCCAAACCAACATGGCCGCCACGGCCTCACCTCATCGGCCGCCGGCCTGCTGCGGCCATCTTGAGTGAGGGAAGCGGCGGGGCAGGAGGAAGCGGCCAACTTGGGCGCGAGGGGGGGCGAGGGGAAGCGGTGGTGGTGATGCCGCCATCCTTGAGGCGATGCTGGGCACCGGCTCCGGAATTCCTCCAAAACCCATCAGGTTTCCTTGCTTTTTGTTCCAGTTTTGCTCCCGTTTCACAGCACATCAAGGTCAGGGCCCCAGACCTAAACCCCCTTGGAGCTGTTGCCAGGGTTCAGTTCTCAGGTGTGGTTCAGCATCACCCTCTACCTGTGCAGTTCGGACTGCAGTAAATAGCAGTTCCTGGGGGGACCTGGGTTTTCCAGTGCTCTATCCATATGAGGAGTCGTCTTTTGAAAGAAATGCATGGATTTTCATGCCTTGTTTCTACAAACCTGAACAAAGAATAAAAATATAACCAAATAAAATCTATTTGTTTTCATACCTGCAAAGTGCACTGCTTGTCTATAATGGGCTTGTTCCTCAGGTGAGTTTAATACATCTCTTTACCTTACAGACCCATTGGCCCTGGCAGCTCCTCCATGGCCACCAGCACGTTATTGCCAGGGTGAAGAGATGGGTTTGGAGGAGCCTGATCCCAGGGAATCAGGGGTTAACCCTGTGCCTGCCTCCTTAAGCAGTCATCGTGCTTGGTGATGCAGAACCGGAGGAGTCAAAGTTGCTAGAATGGTGAAGCAGAATTGTGGTAGATGAGGTTCATCACATTGAAGACATTCTTGTTTAAATAGGACCCATAGAAAGAAAAGGAACAAAAGATAACCAGAGGAACAACATTTTGAGACTTGACAAGTTTCTGCTGTAAGGTCCATAAAACCGGCTTGTACTAAACGTGGACAGGAGCAGAAACCCCACTGAGGCTGCCTGAAAACAAGGGGCTACTCGCGGTGATGAAGAGGAACTCCAGGCCTTCATCGTCACGACCCCCTCACGACCACCACCAGGAGGCACTGCACAGGCGCACCAATGGGACGAATGCCAGAAAACGTAATACTAGACACAGGAATAGGTTTTCATAGAACCATAGAACAGTCAGGGTTGGAAAGGACCTTAAGATCATCCAGTTCCAACCCCCCTGCCATGGGCAGGGACACCTTGCTCTAAACCATATTACCCAAGGCCTCATCCAACCTGGCCTTGAACACTGCCAGGGATGGAGCATTCACAACCTCCCTGGGCAACCCATTCCAGTGCCTCAGCACCCTCACAGGAAAGAATTTCCTCCTTATATCCAATCTCAACTTCCCCTGTTTCAGTTTGAACCCGTTACCCCTTGTCCTATCACTACAGTCCCTAATGAAGAGTCCAAGTGTTTTGCATATGTATGAGGCGTGAAGCAATCCCATGTTTAGGGTTACCTATAATCATTATCTGTAACATAAAGGAACTGAGTGGCAAAGGAAAGGCGTGTACGCCTTTGGAGGAGCAATCCCCATGTGCCTCAGTGCTGAATAAAGCATACCTACTTTACAACTCTGACGAGCTGTGGAGGCTATCCGTGTATCGGTGACAGCTCCAGCTCCTCCATCGACACCAGCATGTTACTGCCAGGGTGAAGAGATGGCTTTGTAGGAGCCAACTGAAGGGGCTGGGCTTTGCTGGGGTAAATCCAGGCTCAGAAGCACAGATGGGGTCTCCCACCTCCCAGCCTGCTGTTCCTGCAGGATGAGCTGCTGCTTCCCACCGGTGACCCCAGCCTGCTCTCATGCAGCACACAAAATGGTTTCAAAGAGCTGCAGGCTGGGAGTGAAACACGCGTTTCTGAGCCGTATGACGGATAAATTCATCTTAAATGTGGTTTTTAACTGAAGTGCGGGTTTTGATCTTCACATTTTAACAGCTTGCAACAAGCTGGTGGAGGATGGTTGTGAGTCCTTGAGGAAATGTGCGATAAATTCCTCCATTAAAAATACCATCAGGAAGAGGCGGGTAGCACTGCCAGTTCCTCTGCTGCTTGCCTTTCCATACTGGGCACCCAAATCTGTACCTAGATCCTGTGCTTATCAGGCTGCTGGCCTGATACGAGAGCTATTGGATATTAGAACCACTAGATACTCAAACTATTAGATATTGGAACTATTAGACAGTCAAATATTAGCTATTCAAACTGTTAGATACTAAAATTGTTAGGTATTCAAAGTGTTATATATGCAAACTATTAGATATGCAAACTTATATATTCAAATATGAGTCAAACTATTGGATAGCCAAACTGTTAGATACTTAAATTATTGGATATTCAAACTAATAGATATTCAAAGTGGTAGATATTTGAACAGTTAGAACTGTTGGATACTCAAACTATTGGATAGTCAATCTATTATCTGTTTGAATTATTAGGTATTCAAACTATTATTCAAGCTATTAGATATTCAAATATTAGTCAAACTATTGGATGTTCAAACTGTTAGATACTCAATATATTGGATATTCAAACTGGTAGATATTCAAAGTGGTAGATATTTGAACTGTTAGGTATTAGAACTATTGGGTAGTCAAACTATCATCTATTTGAACTATTAGGTATTCAAGCTATTAGATATTCAAGTACTAGTCAAACTATTGGATATTTGAACTGTTAGATGCATAAATTAATAGATATTCAATAGATATTCAAACTAGTAGATATTTAAAGGGTTAGATTTTAGAACTGTTGGATATTCAAATTATTGGGTAGTCAAACTATTATCTATTTGAACTATTAAGTATACAAACTACTATTCAAGCTATTAGATAGTCAAGTATTAGTTAAACTATTGGATATTCAAACAAATGCTCAAATTAATAGATATTCAAACTAGTAGATATTCAAAGTGGTAGATATTTGAACAGTTAGATATTAGAACTGTTGGATAGTCAAACTGTTGGATAGTCGATTAGCTATCTGAACTAGTAGATACTCAAACTATCAAGCATTTGAACTGTTAGATATTCAAACTAGTAGATATTCAGAAGTGTTCTCCTGTTTATGGTGGAACAAAGACTCCTGTAGGAGAGAGAATAAAAATACTTAGCCTAAATACACGGAGTGCAAAGGCAGCTTGCTCAGGCTGGGCTGGGCTGGGTTGAGAAGCAGATCCAGCCTGACAGATGGCTGCTGCTGAGGCATGCCGAGATTCCACCATGAATTTGGTTTTCAACCCTGATTATTTTGTTTGTAGTCGGGGAATGTTTCTATTGTCAAGACACAGCTCGAGGAGTGGAGCGAGCGAGCCGCAATATGAGTGATCCATGCTAAAATGTCAGGATAATATTCCTGTATCTTAGCACGAGGGAATGGTGTTTGCTTTTACTTTATCGGAAACCTGGTCTGCTCAACAGTTCTCACCCAGAGGAGTTGGGAGGGAAGATGAAGTGCAGGCTCCTGTCCAATTTAGTCTGGCTTTCATAAGGATTGAGTGACTTGCTGCGGGAGCTGGCAGCCCGTGCCGCTGGGTTCTGTTGCTGTGTCAATCTTTGCTGAGCTGCCCAGGAGGGATTCTCCCGGTGCTCCTTTGGCACCATGGCTGCGCGGCTCCAGGCTGGGTTTCACACTGCCCTCTGCCACTGCATCACTTCTCAGGATG